AGGATAGCAAAGTGTGGCAACACAAGCGTCACGAGCAGGATTTGAACCTGCGCGGGGAAACCCCAATGGATTTCAAGTCCTTGGCCTCGTTTCACCCTTGCTATTGCCTATCTAGAACTCGGAATTGCACCCAGGACCAACGCGCCACACACCCACTTCGTTCCACAGGTCGTTAGCTCGCCACCTTCGGTTTTGACTTCCACAATGTTGCTCCGAACACCCGCTGGCCTCTCATAAGTGCCGTCCACCACCGTTTCGTCTACTCGCCCAGCGCACCAAGCCGACCCAAGCCAAAGAAACCACGTAGAATGACATCCCAAAACTCAAATTGAATTGCAGTTTATGTAATACAAATCGGATCAGTAAAGTCAAGGGTGTCAACGTTAATCGGAGCAGCAATCCTTGCAGCATCCACACGGACAATGGGCGCAGGCACACTTGCCAGGCTCACACGAGCAGCCCTGTTTGGTTTTGCAGCCTTCACAACACTTGCAGTCACTGGTGTCACAGCAGCCACCCTTGCAGCAGGTTTCTCCGGCCACTGCAATGAACGTACAGCGGAGTGGAACACTAAAAACGCCATGCGCTCCTTTCATCTCCATATTTATATGCTAAAGGCATGCTCTTCCCATTGCAATGCTGGTTCACATAGCACATGGTTTGGCACAGGCCTGGAGCATTCACATAGACTAGGCGTGCAGGTGACACTCTATTGGTCCACGTTACTTAGACGTCTTTATGCTCTGAAGCCATTGGTTAAGTTTGCGCTGACTATCCTGTCCTCCACGCGGTCTGATTTTTAATTTCCATGGCGATGTTTATCTACTTGCCGCATGAATCTGTGTAGAACTGTACCACTTCGTTTCTATTTATTCCTAATCTTTATAGGTAAACTGACTCTGTAGATGCATTCTTGATTTATCAACCCAGCCAGCCTTAATTCTTTTAAATGCTTTAAAATATGAAATGTCTTTTTTAAACAAATAGCATCGCTTTCACCCTCACATTATTTGATGTACTGTTTTGATATTAGTGAGTCACAATGCAGCCTGTGTAGCCGTCAGCTCTTGCGGTATTATTTTGCCACCTAGCATAGCGATGGACTTGAAATGACTAGGTATCTTGCCTATTTACTCCTACACTAAAAACGTAATTTTACTTCGTGGTCGTTGGTTGCGGTGTCAAATTGGTGGCCGACGTCACAGTAACGAGCCTTTACACTGTTCCCTGAGAACATTGGCACACAGGGCCGTGACATCGCAAGTTGATTACAAGCGATGTGAAGTGAAAAGATAGTGTGTATTGGTAAGTTTTATGATGTTGACGGACGTGTGCAGAACTGCTGATATCGCAAAGAAAAGAACGCATACTTTTGGACTTAAATGCTGTTGATTGAATTCGGATGTTGCAGCGCCTCTAGCGGCGTAGACTTGCAAAGTAGGGGAACGATGGCTTCGTCGTGCTTCAGCCAACCAGAATATCATGACGATATCCGTTGTATAGTTTTGCCAAGCAATCAATCCTGACCTGAACCAAGCCCTCACAAGTGGAATTAGGTGGCTGAGTTAAGCAGAAGCCCTTGCAAAACTCGATTGTTTCCGATTACCATTTGTATGATTATCAACAAGAGCGTAATTTTGGCTTTAAGAAAAACGCTCATGTGAGCGTGTGTTCTTTGTAGTCAGGGGTGTAGGGAATGGATTAACTTCTGGTACAATTCAGGCATGGGTTGCAATTAAACACGTAAATTTTTGCCGATTTGCAATATGCAATCTATGTGGGTAGTACCTATTCACGCCACCGTAAATTTGTGAAGTCACGACTCTGGAAATTAGCTTGGAATATCTAACCTTGTTATCTTACCTACCTTCTTTGATGTGCTTTGAGTAGGTGAATGAAATCATGACTGATATAAAGAATTGATCAGGAGCTATAGGTGTGACATCATAATTGCCAAGTCAGGTTGGTTGGCTAGTGATTTATTCTACACCGGCTCTATAACCTGACCAAATGCCAATAATAAATGCTGTCATTGATAAGTATTGGTTTAGCCTCAGTCGTTGACCCTAATTTCACTAACTTAATATATCACTCCAAAGTCGTGTGTGGTTTAGAAGGCCACCAAGTAAATTAAGCGTCACCACAATCGTTGGGGAAGAAATTCTCTGAATTATTCCTTAGGTGTTGTGGTAGGTCATGTAAATCAACGTGTCAGATTTCTGAGCCCTCGTAAATTGATTGACAAAGTTGGTGGTGTTGTGTTTTGAAGTTGCATACTGTTCGTGCTGATTTCAGCCTCATTCAACTCTGACACATATTCTGTTGGTCTTTCATGACTGATGATTAAAATGAAACTGCAATTTTCATTTGGTAGAGGTGATTGAGGAAATTAGGCCGTGCAACTTTTGGTACGTTATTTCTTGAGTGCTCAGAGTCAATTTAACCCTTTATACTCTATTAGCAGAGGTCTGTGCTCTATCGTTTGAGTAAAATATACTTTTACACACATTTCCTGTTGTGTGTGCACTATAATTGATGTCTGTCATTTGGACTTACCTACTTTTCTCCTATATCTTTTTGTGAGTTTCTTTTTTAATATTCTAAGCTATCGAGTTCGGCGCGATTGTCTGAATAACGGTGTCAAGTTTTAGCTGACGAGTCATGCTTACACAAAGGTTATTTAACAGTTAATTTATAAAAATTACGCGGACGTAATTACATGAATTAAGTGGGAATGAAGAGAATTAAATCTTGTGCCTCGTGAACCACCACCTGTCTCCAGTGATGACAGCGGCCTCCAAGACACAGCAGAATCTGAATCATCCCAAATATGATCATTTCTTGCAAAAGATCATAGTGTTTCTAATAAATACCTGTGGGTAGTTTTTCCGGTTCACGGAAATTGGTAAACAGCACAATCACCGAATCCTGCACGATTGGAAATGTCTACAGCAGCAGTGACGCTGTGAGGCGTGAAGCGCATTGCACCTGAGAACCAGAGGACATACTTTCTTCAAAGCATTAAAACCATCTATTACTAAACAAAGTTATCATGACAATGAGTCGATTGCAGTGAAAATCAAGACAGGATTACGAATTAGACTGTACACGCTCAGGAGACCAAAGTGGCAGTGTGGTGGACTGCCAGGACTGTCGCCCACAAATAATTGTTTAGGTATGCACAAACCATAAATGTCGTGTCGTATTGACTCCAATTTGAGAACCTTCACAAGACTTATCCACATGGACTTTGCATTTACCAATTGCCATGAACTCACTTTCTGTCACGATATTATGTGAACTTGCGCAGCACCGATACCAGTAAAACCGAGTGGCTTAGACTAACGGATGCTCTCGTCTACACGTTCTCAGAGTCTGGAGCACCTAGCTTGAGGCCAATATGACTCTTGAATAATTCGTCTCTACTGAGTGCTCTGATATTTTAGAAGTTTTACTTCTGCTATATATATATATATATGCATGATCTCTACGTTGATTGAAAATCGTTTTCAGCTTTATCAGTGTGCTCATGTCTCCTCGCAATTTGATCAATATGACACTTTGTATCATGCAAGCTTAGATGCCAGCTTTTAACATTTTAAATGTAGAGTCAGTGATAAGTAATAGCACATTCTGAAACCATGTCACATAATTAAAAATAATCTCAGTCACATTTGGAACTAAACAAACCTCCACATTAACTAGTCATTGTCTTCTAGAAATACCACCGTTATCCTTGACCTTAGCATTTGTGTGTTTGAGCACTGCGGCAATAACAAAAGACATGTGACTTAAGGAATAACAGTGGTGATATTTGAAAATTTAAGACTTGTCTGACAAAAATACCCCTGCTACAATGTTGTTTGGCAGAGATGTAAGACGTATCAACACAAACACACGCAGTGAATGTCAAAAAGAATGGTGGATGGGCGATGATATGGACAAAGATTTAAATTCGCAAAAACTAGATCCCCTAAAATTCATGCGTTAATCCTGAGCTTACCATTAAAAATAAAAGTGGAATCGAAACAAACTTGATGACGTCTACCCACAGGTCAGAATGCTTTCTTAAAGATTTCTGAGATGTATTAGTATGTGATAAAAATGCTTAAGTCACGCTATATTCTTTTCCAGTTCTGAAATCTACTGAATTATTGAATTCATCTCACCATTTTAGACATATTTCCAGAAATTCTAATGTGTTTACTACATTAACAAAACATCATGAAGGTCGTCGTTCATTTGAATTGCGCCAACATAATATCGATGATGAAGGCTTAATTATCAGCATATTCTAGTACACATAGACTAGGATTTGAAGAGGTGTAGCAGTTCACTCGCTTAACCGAGTCTTGTCGCTATCGTGGACTCACAAACAGAGGGCCGGCTGAGCTCCTGGCGTGTTGACGGTACGCCACATTATGGCGACATTTGAGGGAAAAAAGCATTCAACCGTATCATTGTAGCCAATTTACTACCAGTCTAAAAAGGACAGATATAAATGACGTGAAAATTGGGTTCGCGCACTACTGCATTCCAAACTGGCTAATGCAGCGCACTGCGCACGGAAGAGCGATCACATAGACAAAGGGACGTTTGGTGTGGGGAGGCTGACTGATAAACAGACCAACCATCGGGATGACTGGTCCACGAATTACATGCGCGTGATAAATGCCCAGCTTTCTGGAAGCGACGAACAAACCCGCCAGTGGGTGCCTTTAGTACACATCCGACACGCGCCTCCGATTCTGCGTGCCCCCGAATTGGCCATACAAGATCACGCACCGCCAGGAAACCTCGGGTCACCCGTACTAGTGTTCATCCACAACTCAGGCTTGCACCCACGACCAACGAACGACACACCCACACCGTGTCACAGCTCATCAACCCGCCAGCATCGGCGATGGCTCCCACAACGCTGCTTCCAACACCCCCCTGCATCTCACAAGGACCATCCACCACCGTCTCGCAAGCTCACCCAGCCCACCAACCCAAGTCAACGAAACCATGTAGAACGACACCTCAGAACTCAAATTAAATGGTAGTTTATGTAATACAAATCGGATCAGTAAAGTCAAGGGGGTCAACGTGAATCGGAGCAGCAATCCTTGCAGCATCCACACGGACACTGGGAGCAGGCACACTTGCCAGGCTCACACGAGCAACCCTGTTTGGTTTTGCAGCCTTCACAACACTTGCAGGCACTGGTATCACAGCAGCCACCCTTGCAGCAGGTTTCTCCGGCCATTGCAATGAACGTACAGTGGAGTGGAACACTAAAACCGCCATGCGCTCCTTTCATCTCCATATTTATATGCTAAAGGCATGCTCTTCCCATTGCAATGCTGGTTCACATAGCACATGGTTTGGCACAGGCCTGGAGCATTCACATAGATTGGGTGTGTAGGGGAAACCCGATTGGTCGACGTTACTCAGACGTGTTTATGCTTTGATGCCATTGGTTTAATTACCGCAGGCTGTCCTTCCACTTTTCAACCGTGCTGACAGCGGACAATGTTTATCGCTTTAACCGACTTCTTTGCCTTTTATGTTCTAAACCCCGACTTGCCTGTCTTTATCTGTCGAGGTGGCTTTATACGAACCTGGAAACCGAGGTTCATTAGACTGGAGACGTCTACATCCAGTTTCTGCACCACTTAGTAAATGGATTGGGCGTTGAATTGTCAATAATGTTTCACTGAGATCATAGGCACGCATATTAATCAAGCGCCGTAACAATTCTTTTTATAAAGTAGTCTTAAACTCCTAGTTTGTGTTAGTTACCATTAGTGATTCAGTGCACCCTTTGACTCGGTCTAAGTTTTCAAATGGCTGGCTAGATCCGTTTCGTGCCATGTGGACATCGGTTCCGTAAATTGTCATTTGAATTATGAACTTAGCTAGGATAATTTATTTAAAATGACAAACATCGGCCTACCGCTAACTTCAGGAATCGTATTTTTCGAAATCGACGTGGGTTTCTGTCGTAGGCGCGTAATTGGAAAATAAAACCCCATGCACCTCTTGTACGCATTCATTAAAATTTCGCCTGTTGTAATGTCATTAACTGGATAGCTTTTGAGTTGTTATTCATTTAAATATTGACGTCGTTTATAGTATTCGTTTGTAGACATAGAGCTTGTACCTGAGCAAAAATATTCAAGTGACGGAGTCTTCAACAAAAATCCAAAGAATTGATGACAAGTCCGGCAGCTCAGTGAATCTTACTTAAATCATCTACATATTTAAGTGCTTACTTGCTTCGAAATAACTTTAATTAATTTTGAGGGCAAAATAAGCGCGCTTACTGTTGTTGGCGTTTTTATGGACGTAAATGGAATGACAGTAAGATGCATGTGATTTATATGTGGAACAAAGTCGCAGCAAACAAAGTGAGCTTGAAAGTAGACCAAAAAATCTTAAAGTTGGGGTTGTACGTGTTGCCCGATCAAACGTGGAACCCACTTCGTTGATCGAGGCGAGGGGCTGTGGGAGCGTTTGTGCCTCGGGGATGTAAAAGAAATCAACAGCTTGTCTAGTATTTTATTTATTCCGTTGGGTTCATGTGTAGAAAATAGTGGGTTTCTTGAGTTTAGTGCCGTTATGAGGGTCAGGAGTTCAGACCGACGAGGTGGGCTATGTGTGGTCAACTATAACAACATGCAAAGCTTTATTAGGTTATACAAGACTCGTACCCGGCCTCGCGTCGTTAGGTTAACCAGGCGACACTCCGCCCTCCCCCGCACCCTCTTAGTCACGCCTTCAACCTTCTCACAAACAAGCAGATACCGAACCGTCATCACCTCTGACATTCTCGCCTCTCGGGCTTGATTCACCGGGTCTCCCAACAACCGTTAGTATTAAAATAACGAACTTCTACCTTTCTAAACCAGGTCTCAAATTTAGACCAAGTGTTTACATGACCTCTTATTCAGCTCTGGGGTACTTAGTGTACATTCAGCAGTTTTGGTATTCAGCTATCGGTTTTGGCTTAACGTTGGCGGGAAGACTAAACTTTAAAGTGCATGTCGTGGTTGATCCGAAACTCAGACACCGAAGGATGCAAATCAGGATTCTTCGTTATTTTTAGGTGCATCACGTGCTGAAAATCCACAGATGAGAAAGTAAACTGTACGTTAAGATCCAACCTAGCCAGAAATCGAACTTGTTGGTCTATTTAAATACCTCAGTCAACGGTTGTCCGCTGTCAGAGACAAGAGACAACGGTTTAACAGGTAGCTCAGCACATTGCGTCAGCGCACAAGTTTGAGCATGTTTTTAGGCCTTAGGCTTCCACGAGGGGAAACCACAATGGGAGCGGACGCTAGCCCCCACCTTCCCACGCTGATGGAGGACAAGGCACGACCTTGAGCAGAGAGCTCTCAATGCCTCAGCCAAAGGCCAAGCGATCTGAATGTGGCCACTTATATCAGTCAAGGACAACCCTGACCTGATGGATCAAGGAGGGTTGACACAGATGGGGCTGTCAGTAGGTTGACGTGGGTGATTCACTCACTTTTGGCGTGGTTAGAGTTGTGTAAACAATGACGAAATCCTAACCCTCGATGAGCCCTCTTGTGGAACGCTGAATCCCCAACGCTTCTCTAAGCGAAATTTGCCAAATAAAATTCATCACTTACTTAGGGGGAAGAAGTCCCCAGAGGGAACTAGAAATGGGGCATGTACTGGCGGCGCTAACAATCGTGAACTAAAACTCACAATGTCGGTTATATACTGACTTCTCATGTTCACCTTCTGACAAATGCTTTCTGTTTATCCTATTTGTGCGTGAGACTTTAATCTAGCTTACTTGATCACTGGGTCGGGGAAAAAAGTGTAATTTTTATAAGAACATAATCAAAAGTATCAATAAAACTCAACAAAGCACTGAGTTGTGAAAAAGTCTTCGATGACTTTGCAAATTTTCCACTTATTACAGGAATTCAGCACTATCTCTTAGCTTAGCCGAATAAATCCTGTTACCTACATTTAAAAATTTCCACATTTCAAATATCATTTTACCCCATATCGACAATTACAGATAACAAATGAAGGTTTTGCATGAATTCTCGAGAAGCACTTGCCAAAGGGTGGATTGGTACACAAGCGGTAGTTCTCTTTGTTTACGCATTAAATAGTTGATACCGCGTACACAGGCTACTGCACGGAAGTCCCCTAGGGTTATCAAGGCCACAAACTGCCACTTTTCAGATAATCCATTGAATTGCCAAGTGGCAACTTATCGCGAACTAGGACCCACAATGCTTGGCGAAAATTCTGCATATTATATCTTGGACCATACTAGAACCACACCAGATAGCTCACGGAACCTAGTGATAAGGCCGGGGTTTGCAGGTAGTGCTCCCTTTTTTTCACACGCTAGAAAAAATTGTGATGTGCTGCTATCTATACAAAGTATTTTCACGAAGGAGATGTTGCGTATAACAAGCCAGTGAATAAAAAGCAATACATGAGATGAAGAGCTGTTGTCATAAAATCGAAGTCCAGCGCACTTCACTCATAAACAATGGACATTTTTCGCGAGAAAATTGGGTGCACTTACGATAGGAGCAGAGGCCACCAACACGCACCATGGCTTTAAGTGACCATATAGTGGCATTTAACGTCACGAAATACCCAGAGAAGAAGACTGGGGACGAGAGAGGGACTCAGCGGTTTATTAGACCACTCCAAGTGTGTGATGTCTGTCGTGTCGAGCGCCTACGTGGTTGTGTATACCTAACGGAAGTAAACGAGCCCAGGAAGGACAAGACTGTACCTGTCGTTACCCAGGGGGCTCTGATGAGCTTGTAAATGTGCAATCATTTGAATGAAATGATGCAAAGTAATAGTCACGGCGGGTTATGTACACAAGGGAGGGTGATCATACGTTTCCGCATGAGGGTCGGGGATACAGAAAAGAGGGCAGAGTGGGCACACGGGGGGGGGAGGGTGAACTACTAAAGGACACCAGCTAAGTCACTGGACGTCACGGATACTGGTGTATTAGACTGTTTTCACATTGACTTAAACCATTAATGTGAAAAACCAGCATAAGGTATTTCGGAGACTTGATGACGGCAAGGAAGTGCAAAGTCCAGTATATCGAGCTTCTGTAGCCATTCCTGAGACAAAGGATTTACATCAAGAAATGTGTTTCGATTGTGTTAACTAGCCATTAGATGTATTAACTTGGGGTTGTAAATATTACCATGGATAAGGGAGATTTTCTAGATATATAAGCATATTTAAGGCTGTTTTGGGAACGATGACAGTTTGCTGGTTTAAAAATGATACTAAGAACTGAATCTGTAGTGGATTGTCAGTGAACACGCGTGAGTGAGACTTGTTTGTACCCATTGGTGTCAATAACTCACTCACGTTCTTCCTTGGTAGCTGTAACCAGTCGCCCGATAAACACATTCACACATCCACACACGAAGACACGCTAACAAAAAGCCGCATCTGCCGTGACCTCTCTTGCCTCCGTTCTCGGGTTGTCACGGCCTGCAAACTCCAGTTTTAAGGTATTGCAAACAAATCACTACAACCCCCTAGTTAGTAGAGACGACTAATGGCATCACCAGGACTACCAACTTCTAATGTGGTTGATTAGCGTTCACCGGTTCATCAAAATTCTAGAAGGCATCTTTCCTTACAACTGGTCTGTTTGTTGTCGGATGAAAGTAGTTAACAATCTTGGAGTGTTGCGTCATTTGCTCCTGCGTCTAGTGTTTGTTCCCTGTTTGAGGCATTATGAATATGACAACAGACCTCAACGCCATCAGATTTGGTATCATTGCGCTTTACTAAGTTCAAAACGTATTGACAATTCTTTGTATATTTGGGGCAATGTACACGTTCAATTCTCGCGTGTACTTGTCACCTATGTGCTTTATGAAAAGGTGCCAGTCAAAAAACAAACATTTACTACTGAAATAAGCATAGTACAAATATTTTTGTGTCGAGTTAATTGGTCACAAATGCTTTAAAAATCACCTTTTACAAGTTTCGGACTGTGAAAACTAAGCACGATACACTACAG